CCAACGATGAGGTGAGGGAAGGGGGCAGGTACAGGGGCTGGGGGTCCCCAGCAGGTCACAGCACCCCCAAAGCTTCTCCTCCCCTTGGTTCTCCAGGGAGGCCGGAGCTACTCTTGGCTGACGGAGGAGAGCCTCTTCTATGCCAACTGGCAGGATGGGGAGCCCAAGCAGGTCTCCGGCTGCTCCTACATGGATGTGGATGGGACCTGGCGCACGGCCAGCTGTGACACCAAGCTCCAGGGGGGAATCTGCCAACTCCAAGCAGGTGCTGGTTGTGGGGGGCCTGATGTGGGGCAGAACGGGTGGGATGCAACAAAGGGTTGGAGATGGCATCCCACCAGGGACCTTCTGGAGCGCTGTGTGTGTGTCCTCATGGGGCTTGTGCTTTCCCCAACGTGCTGTAGGATGCTGGCCCCATCCCTGGCAGTGTTCAAGGCCAGGTTGGACACAGGGGCTTGGAGCAACCTGCTCTAGTGGAAGGTGTCCCTGCCCGTGGCAGGGGTTGGAGCTGGAAGAGCTTTAAGGTCCCTTCCAACCCAAACCATTCTGTGATTCTGTGACACCCTGCGCCCTTCCGCTGCCCCCAATGCACCGTGTGCCCCCCAGGTGTCTCCCGCACACACAAGTGGAGCTACAGTGGCAGCTGTCCCAAATCGCTGGAGGACTCGTCCTGGATCCCCTTCCGGGACCACTGCTACACCTTCCACATGGAGATCACTCTGGGGCAGAAGGACGCCATGAAGAGGTGCCAGAAAGGTATGAGAGGGCTGTGGTGGTGGAGGGGGTGATGCATCCTTGGAAAAGGAACAGGGTGAAATTCCATCCTCTGAGGTCTGGGCGCTTCCCTGATCCTCTTTCCTCTGCAGTTGGTGGCACAGTGTTGTCCATCCAGGATGAGATGGAGAACGTCTTCGTGTGGGAGCATCTCCAGGCGTACGAGGGTCCATCCAAGGGTGCCTGGCTGGGCATGACTTTCAACCCCAAAGGTACAAAGGAAGGAGTGAGGTTTTATATATTCCAGGCACCACCACGAATTCCTACCAGGTCTTCAGTGAGCAGAAGTCCTTGGTGGTGGCACCGGTGGTGGCACACATGCCATGTGTGTCCTCCTCTGGCTTGGTGGGATGGGAGTGGTGGCTCTAAAGCTCAGAGCCTCTTCAAGGCACTGGAGCCTGCACCTTCAGGAAGGTGCCCTGCAGCCCCTGGTCTTCCCCACTGCCCCATCACACCTCCTCATCACCCAATCACATCCACCCCATCACACCTCCCTATCATAGAATGGTTTTGTTTGGGAAGGACCTTAAGCTCCTCCAGTTCCAACCCCCTGCCATGGGCAGGGACACCTCACACTGGAACATGTTGCCCAAGGCTCCCTGCAGCCTGGCCTTGAACACTGCCAGGGATGGGGCATTTACTACTTCTCTGGGCAACCAGTGTTGAGTGAGCGCCAGCGCCTCAGCACCCTCACAGGGAAGAGCTTCTGCCTTGTATCCAACCTGAACTTCCCCTGTTTCAGTTTGAACCCATCACCCCTTGTCCTGTCACTCCAGTCCCTGATGAAGGTCCCATCTCCAGCATCCTTGTAGCCCCCTTCAGTCACTGGAAGCTGCTCTGAGCTCTCCACGCAGCTTCTCTTCTCCAGGCTCACCTTCCCATCACCCCATCACCCCTTCCCAGTGCTTTCTGAACTGGGGCCAAGATGGGGTGTCCCCGCCAGCCTCCCCCGCTGTAATTCTCGCCTTCCCCAGGTGGCACCTTGGTTTGGCACGACAACACCGCCGTCAACTACTCCAACTGGGGCCAGCACGACACGGGGCCCAGCATGCTCAGCCAGAACAGCTGCTACTGGATCCAGAGCAGCAACGGCGTGTGGCGCCTGGGCTCCTGCACCAACGTCACCATGGGGGTCATCTGCAAGATCCCCCGAGGTAGGGACCCCCGCGCTGCCTGGGCTGATGCGGGCTGAGCTGGGGGTCCAGGCAGGGCGCTGCAGGGCAGAGCTCTGCTTTGGGCAGTTCCAGGGGGTGGTAGGGGCTGGTGCTGGGGTCTGCAGGTGCCTGCTGGGCTCGGTGGTGGCTGGGGCAGGGTGAAGGCAGTGGTGGAGCAGAAACAGAGGATGCGGGTGCATCACCTTGTGTCCGTGTGGTGCAGCAGTGAGAGCAGTGGAGGATGTGGGGCTGGTGGGGTGGCACTGGGAAGAGGGGAGGGTGCCATGTCCATGCACTCATCTCTCTGTGTTGCCGTTGCAGTGGAGGAGAGCAGCTTTTCGAGGGCAGGTGAGTGGCACCTTTAGCTTGGGCACGGGATCAGGACCTGGTGCTGGGGCTGTGATGCAGCCTGGCTTGTGTCAGTAACCAAATAAATGGTGTTTGTGGGTGGGAAATGCCATTTCCAGGTGGTTTTGGCCCTCAGTCGGGGCTCCTCGTCAGCAGGTGCCATCCCTGCATGGAGGAGTGTGTCCAGCCAGCCCCTTGCTGGGCTCTCCTGCCCTTGCCCACACTGCCAGGCCAGGCTGGGGGTTGTGGCTGCCCCCTCCCCGCGCGGGTTCACGGGGGGGGT